TTTTTACAATTCGGTAAACATTTGGCCTTTTTTTAATTTTGTTCCTGTTTTTTCTGGTAAAAAAAAAAAAAAAACTAAATTAAAAATGCAAACTGATCCTTTTTTTTTTTTTTTTTTTTTACCGCAACAGGTTTTTTACGTTTCATTAAATTTTTTATATATGTCCTAAAAATTTCCTTTTATCTTTTAATTTTTTTTTTTTATTAAATTAAATCAAACGAAAATTTATAAGTATATAAATATATATAATGTTAAAATAAAGAAAAATTTATTCGAGTGGTTTACAGGGGGAAGGGGTGAGGATGAGGGGGGAACACGTATATTAAAGTGAAAAGCTTTTCCTTGTACCAAAAAAAAAAATATATATATATATTACACGTGATTCGATTATTTTAAAAAAATGTTTTTTTAGGGCTTAGTTAAATATTTTAAGACGGGTTTAATAATTACCACGTCCATTTTAATAATAAATCATAGTTAAAAAAAAATTTTTTTTTGTACATAGTTGTAAGAGTAAATGTTGTAAACCTTGAATTGACGTTTAAACATTTAAATGTTAGTCAACCTCCTCCGTATAGTTTGATCGTCATTCTCTTCAAACTGCGTCATAGTTTGTTCGTTTTTTTTTTTTTTTTTTTTTTTAATATTCTCTTTTGGTTAAATGTTGGTCAATTATTCTTTTATACTTTGTAAAGCTCTTAATACTGACTGACTGACGTAAATTATCGAGTATAGGAAAGTAAAAAGTTATACTGTGTCTCGTTATCAGCTAACACAACCGTAAATAATGTTTAAAAAAAAAAAAATTTTACAAATTTCCATGCATGTTTAATTTATTATTAATTTAAATCCGTTCGCTTTTTTTTTTTTTTTAAATAAAATATGAATAAATTTTACATAAAAAAAAACTGTAATAAAATAAAAAAAATTTAATATTCCGGTACAATGCAAGATTTGCATTATTTTTGTAAATTAATATTAATAATAATAATTTTAGATTAATTTTAATATAGAAAATAAATTTAAAAAAAAAAAAAAGTTTATTTACTTTTTAATGCTTAGTATGGTAAAAAAAAATTAAATGCCAGGCATTCGTTTTTGTTTTCAATTATGGAGTAATAATAAATTATTTTTGTAATTTTGTAGTTATAATAATAATAATTTAAAAAAATAAATAAATAAATAAATAATTTTAAAAATTGCTTTTGCGGTTGATTAGAGTTAAATGCTAAAAAAAAAAAAAAAAAATAGGAAATGACAAATATGTCACCATGTTTTAATTGGTCAATAAAAGTTAATTAAAAAAAAAAATTTTTTTTTATTTTGTGTAATTAATTGAGAAGACAAAGATTAAAGTAATTTTTTTTAATAGTTTTTTTTTTTTTTTTTTAATTTAAAATTTTTTTTTATCATTCAAGTCAAGTCAAAAAGGGTAGGAAAAAAAAACAAAACGTTGGGGGGGGGAAAATTCAAGGATAATAAATGATGAAAATGCAACCTTTCTTTTTTTTTTTTTTCCCGTTTTCGTTTTTTAAATATTCCAAAAATGTCCCTCCCTCTTTTTTTTGGACCCGGTTACTTTTCCTTAAATATATTATACGGTTGTTTTCTTTTTTTTTTTTTTAACCCCCCAAAAGTTCTTTTCATTATGAATAAAATTTTTATATCTAATACATTATTAATTTTGAATTTTTCGTAAAAATTTCTTTTAATCAATGTGTAAATTTATTATTTAAATTATTGCAAATAATTTAATAAGTATAAATTATATGGGGAGAAGGAGGGGAGGGGTGTGTGTGTTTAAGGTAAGATGACGCTTAAAAATTAAAAGGTTGACAATTATCATTAGGGGGTCGATTCTTGGTAGTTACAAAACTGTCAAATTTTCTTCTGCCTGGAAACAATCGTAATATTAATTTTGTCTTCTGCTTTAAATATTTTCTTTTTCATTTAAAGAGGGGGAGGGGGAGGGGGGAGAAATGAAAAAAAAAAAAATTATATTTTGAAATAATTAGTTTGTGCTCGGAGACGGAGTATTAATAACGTAATGGATATTTTATTATAATTGCTTTTTTATTTTTTTATTTTTTTTTTTTAATTTAATGAAGGAAACATTGTTTTTCCCGAGAAAAACAAAAAAAAAAAAAAAAGAAAACAAAATCGTAAAAATTTATTTTATTTTATGATTTCATTCCTGCGATCAAAAAATATAATTTAAAAAAAAAAAAAAGAAAAGAAAACAT